TTTCGTGCCCTTTCCCTGGATGGGCCAGGCGCTGGCGCTGGCTCCCCTTGAAGCCACGGAGCTGCTGCCCAGCCCTGCCTAGCCTCACTTCTCCAACTGTTGCTGCCCAGGGGTCTTTGCGGCACAAAGTTATTCTAACTTGGGAGGGGCCCAGAGGAGTTGGGAGAGGGGAATCAGACAATCCAACGTGCCTTGTACCCACCAACCTGCCCTGCTGGTAGCATTACAGCAAGCAGAAAGTTTTGCTGAATTAATTCAAATTAGCAGCAATGGAAGGAGAGAACTCCCTACCCAAGGTTTATGCCCATATCAACTTGCTTCCGCATTCCTACGTTCCTCTTGCTGAATTTGTTTTCACTGAGAAAAATATTCTTGTTTCTTTAATTGCGTCTACATTCAGACATCCTTAACTCCTCCACCTCCAGCACCAGGCAAAGGCCAAGGGGTTTCTGCAAGGCTGCAGAGCCACACTCCCCCACCAAACGTGTCCAGTGAGCAAGAGGAAACCCGACTTACCTTCCATGGCGTATTTCATATCCTGCGCGAAGAGATTCCACATGACTTCAGCGCTTATCTTTCCAACCGCAAGTTCTTGTGGAAACCTACATCGGAAACGGAAGGAGGTATTAAAGGCAGGGCAGGAAATTTGCTCGGTGCCCCTCAGTCTGGGGAGGACGCCCTCACAATGCCCCGTGCGAAGGAGAAGCTAAGGGCTGCCATTTGCCAGGGAGAAACTGGCAGGGGTGGCGCCTGCTCAGAGAGATCCCAGCCAGCCGAAAGACAGCAGCCATTCTCCAAAGAAGCCCGCCCGGCTTCTTCTAGCATGCCATGGCTACCGATGCCTTCCGGCCACCTCTGGGGTGCGCAGTCCTTCCCAACGATGTGAAAGCACGCCAGTGGAGTGGAAGCTTGGTCACCCGCCCCCCCAAGGAGCCACGGGAGCCACCCCTTGGCCCCCGTCCCTCTGCAGAACCGTTCCTGGGTTGACTGGTTCTGGCTGCCCCCTTCCTGGCTGGGCAGCGGCCTGCTTCCCTCATGCACCTGCCATCCTGCTTCCCCACTGCAGCAAATGCATGCAGCCCCCAGCCCCGGGGACCTCAGGTTCCGGAGCACATGCAGGCAGGAAGGGCGCCCGGACGAGGAACTGCTCTCACCCCTCTCCTGGGTGTGCTCTGCCCTCAGGGCGCTACTGACCGAGCGAGCGGGTGATCGGAACGCCTCCATCTCAATTACAAAGTTACTGTTCCACGAGACAGACAGACACAGACGGACAATAGAAACGTCCTGCAGAAGGACACCACGGACAGACCGACAGCAGAGCTCCAGCCGGCTAGCGGCCACCCCGGAGAGCTTCTCTTACTGGTTGAGGGCGGGGGCATATGAGTTTTTGTCTTCTTCCACGATGGAGACGATTAAGGTGATGAGTTTGGGCCAGAAGTCCAGGTTCCTGATGCTGGGGCCCTGCTCCTCCGGAGGCACGTCCTGGGCTTTGTTCTGCGGGCAACAGAGGCGTTCAGACCGAGGGCACGGCTGCTCTTCTCCTGTCCCTGCAGAAGCCCCCTTTTCATGCCCCCCACAGCTGGAGGCTGTGAGAGGATTGGCCGAGCGCAAAGCAGAGGCCATTTAGGCAGAGGAAAAGGCACATCTTCTTCCATGCTGTTCTGCTGCAGAAGGAAGCAGCCCCCCCCCCCCTCCCGCTTTT